GTGACTCCTGGAGATCTCTAGGAATAGCAGCTGAAATTTTGGGGCAACTTTATGAGCTCCAGGGGAGAAAAATGTGGAAGTGTAAGGACTTTGTGGGGTTAAGGGCGCAAAAAGGGAGCGAGTGCTTTATGCAGATTGCCAGCCACACCTTCCACATGTTAAAAAGGCTGAGAAACAAAAGTGGAGTTCCAATTGTTACTAAGGGATAGTATAAACCCTGCTTGCCTCACATAGCATCACATTATATAACCCTAAGTTCTACCTATCCACTTCCCTAGTAATGTTTCATACACTACAAATTCAAAAATTCCTCCATCTCTATATCTGAATACATTTTTAAGGCTGGAAACAAAAACTGCTTATTTTACCATTCTTGGGCTGCAATCCTATGCATACTTACCTGAAAGTAAGTCTCGCTGAACAGAAAAAGCCTTACTTCTGACTAGACATGCATAGGAGTGCGCTATTAGTGCACTAAAACCCTTAATAAACTCCCTTCTCCAATTACTGTTGGATAAGATTAAAAGGCAGTCATACTTCAATTCCTCTCTGGCCACTATGAATAAGATCATTGCGGTTTTCCTCAGCAATAAAAAAAATTAAAGGAGTTCAGCTTGTTTTTAAAACTTTGGGCCTTAAAGCTGAAGATTGTAAAACTGTGTGCAAAAGGACTTGTTTATGGTACATAAAGAAGCTATGAGAGCTATTCAGTTGGAATTGATCAGAGACAGCAATTTCTCTTAGAAAATTATTTTGCTATAACTACTAGCAGCTCACCACTAGAATTCATTTATCTTAATTTCTTAGTGCATAATCATGTTTCTGTGAGTGTAACAGGCAATTTTTTGGAAGGCAGCTAGAACAAAGTATGATACTGCAGTATGTACTTAAGAGATCACAGACAATCATTCCATATTCTGAAGCCAATCTGAATGCATACATTATGCCTCATACCATGCTGCACTGACAACTTTTGATTCTCAGAAGAAAAAGAAGAAAAAAAACTCTTTTTTCAAACTCTTAACAGACTCACTAGCCATCACAATCACCTCTCCCAAGTTACAATGCCACACTGGAAATGATAGAAAGAGATTTCTAAATTTGTTGGAATGTTTTTGCTCTACTGAATAGTTTTGACAGTAGCCAGTTCTCTTGTGGTATAATAGCACACACTTGAAAATTAGATGCATTGATATTAATGGGAGTTATTTCTGTTTTTTCAGTTTGTTCAATTTTTCTCTGTTTGTTCTGAAGTAATAAAGTAAATAAATACGTTTTTAAAGACTCACATTGTGGTCTCTGATACTAGCAACCTCCAATTAGGGACAATGCCTACAAGAGCATCTCAAAGCTGCTTGCTGTCAGGTTTTAAGCCTCATATCAATGTGAATAAATGCAGCAAGAGCATTACTTCCCATAGCTATGGCTGGAGTTGAACACACTGTCACAAATTGTTTTGTTTTAAGCCATTTTACTTCCTGCACACTTTTTTGTTTTAGACAAAAACTGACTTGGGGAAGGAATGAGTACACACTATGCACCCCAACTAGGCTCCTATAAGGGAACGTCTCAAAACTTTGTTTTTTGTATACATAACAAAGAATTTGTTATTCTTGTGTGCCTTCAGTTCGTTTCTCACTTATGGCGACCACAAGACAACCCTATCATGGGGTTTTCTTGGCGATATTTATTCAGAAGAGCTTTGCCATAGCCTTCCCATGAGGCTGAGAGAGTGTGACTTGCCCAAGATAACCCAGTGGGTTTCATGGCCAAGCTGGGAATCGAACCCTTGTCTCCAGAGTCGTTGTCTTCCCCTGCAGCATTAATTTTACGAGGCAAGAGACAGCA